ACTAGAAGGAAACTACTGCAACATAATAAAGACCATATGTGATGAGTCCACAGGTAACATCATACTCCATGGTGAAAGACTGAAAGTTTTCTTCTAAGATTAGAAACAAGACAAAGATACCCTCACCACTTCTGCTCAACAAAGTATTGGAAGTTCTAGCCAGAGCAATTAGGCAGGAAAAAGAAAAGTTGTCCGCATCAGAAAGGAAGAAGTAAAATTATCTGTGTTCACAAATGACATGATCTTATATGTAGAAAACCCTAAAAATACCTCAAAAAAAAAAAAAAAAAGAACTAATAAACAAGTTTAGCAAAGTTACAGGATACAAAATCAATGCACAAAAATCAGTTGCATTTCTATACGCTAACAATGAATGATCCAAAAAGGACATTAAGAAAAAAATTTCATTGACAATAGCATCAAAAAGAATAAAATACTTAAGAATAAACTTAACCAAAGTTTACGAATAACAACAAAATAAACTTAACACTTAAAATCACAAAACATTGCTGAAAGAAATCAAAGAAAATGCAAATAAATGAAAAGACATTTCATATTCATGGACTGGAAGGCTTAATATTGTTAAGATGTCAATACTACCCAAAGAAATCTATAGTTTTAATGCAATCCCTATCAAAATTCCAATGGCATTTTTTGCAGAAATGGAAAAACCCATCCTAAAATTCATACAAAATTTCAAGGGATCCTGACTAGCCAAAGCAACCTTGAAAAAGAACAGAGTTGGAGATCTCACACATTCTGATTTCAAAACTTGTTACAAAACTACAGTAATAAAAAAGGGTGGTATTGGCATAAAGACAGGCATATAGACCAGTGGAACAGAATAGAGAGCCCAGAAATAAACTGTTGGATATGTGGTCAAATGATTTCAGACAGAGTGCCAAGCCCACTTAGGAGAAAAGACAGTCTTTTCAACAAATGGTGTTGCCCAGTGTTTTACAAAAAAAATATAAAACATCAAAAATATTTTCAGTCTTCTCAGGACCTTCGGGTTTGAATGAGACAGAAAAACAAAACAACAACAAATGGTCTTGGAAAACTGGATGTCCACATGCAAAATAAAGAACAGGATTAGACTATGGACAAAAATTAACTCAAAACAGACCAAAGTTTTAAGGCTTAAAACTATAAACCTTGTAGAAGAAAACATAGCAGGAGAGCTTCCCAACATTACATTTGGCAATGATTTTTTGGATATGACACCAAAAGCACAGGAAGGAAAAGTAAAAATAAATTGGATTACATCAAAATTAAAAACTTTTATGCATTAGAAGACACAACAGATTGAAAAGGCAACTTATGGAATGAGAGAGAATATTTGCAAAGCATATATGTAGTAAGGGGTTAATATCCAGAATATATAAAGAACTCCTATAACTCAACAGTAACAAAACAACCCAATTCAAAAATGGGCAAAGGACTTCTATGGACATTTCTCCAAAGAAGAAATAAAATGGCCAACAAGCATATGAAAAGATCTCAGCCTCAATTATCATTAGGGAATTCAAGTCAAAACCATAGTGAGAGATGGCCTCACACCAGTAAGTGTTGGAGAGGATGTGAGAAATTGGAACCCTTGTGCTCTGCTGGTGGGAATGTAAAATGGTGCAGCTGCTGTGGAAAACAGTCTGGAGGTTCCTCAAAAAGTTAAACATAGAATTTCTGTATGATTCAGCAATTTCACTTGAGTATATAACCAAAAGAAATGAATGTGGAGTATACTATAAGGCAAATATATTTCACAGGGCCTAGTTTCTTGTACATTCAGTTTTAGTCTAACTTCTTAAAAGTACATATAAAATGTTGACCTTGCAAAAAACAAAATCTTCCCCAGGCTATATAGTCTCTGTTGAAGATAAAGAATTGTAACACAGCAAGGCTGCTGGTTCAAAGACAAACAAGTTACTGATTGTTATGTAAAGATACTGGGAAACTTCTGTAGGGAGAAGGAATGTTTGCTAAGATCAAGCTTTTGTTGGTGGATCACTTAAATTGCCTTATGGAATGTCGTTTTGCTTGTTTTACTGAATGTTACCAGCTTATATTGTTAAACTATGACCCCACTTACATTCTGTTCCTGTAACCTCCTGGTCTGGAGAATAAATGGGGGTAAAGAACCCAAATTCGTGGTTAATTTCCCAAATGGAGGGAATGCATTGCCTTTGAGGGTTCCAGGAGATGAACCACTTTGGGGCTTCTCACTGTTCAGAAGAGATGGGCTTTGAGTAATCCTTTGTGGCTCTGTCACCCAGGGGAAGAGGGGTGACAAATCCATGGGGGGCAAAGGAACAAATGAAAACAGGGTCTCAAAGAGAGATTTGCACACCCATGTTCATAGCAGCATTATTCACAATAGCCAAAAGGTGGGAGCACACCCCCTGTTGACAGATGAATGAACAAGCAACATGTAGGAAATCCTAACTTATGCTAAAACATGCATGAACCTCAAGGATATCACACTAAGTGAAATAAGCCACTCTCAACAAAACAACTACTGTATGACTTCACTTATGTGAGGTATCTAGGCTAGTCAAATTTATAGATGGAGTAGAATGATGGTTGCTGGGGCTGGGAGGAGGGGGAAATGGGGAGTTGTTTAATGGATGTGGATTTTCAGTTTTACACAATAAAAGTGTTCTGGTGAGCTGGCTGGATAGCTCAGTTGGTTAGAGTGTGGTGCTAACACCAAGGTCCACAGTTTGATCCCCATACCGGCCAGACACCAAAAAAAGAAAATGTTCTGGAGATTTGTTGTGCAACAATGTGAATGTACTTAACGCTACTGAACTGGACACTGAAAAATGGTTAAGATTGTAAATTTTGTTATGTGTATTTTTACCACACTTTAAAAACCATCTATGGCTTCATGACCAGTTACAGAAACAGTGACTGTAGCAGCCATGAGTGTTCTCTTCCTTGTTGTGTCAATGTGTATATATTTAAACTATCTTCTTTTTCTCCTTTTTTTCATCATTTTACAGAAGGATGGTTAGTGGTGGCTTATGCAATTTTAAAAGCTGGCAATAGGAGCAGGCATTTCACAGAAGAGGAAAACAAATGCCATTTAAAATCCTCCAAAAGAACTCTGAACAGCACACCAGCCCTGTGAATAATACAGACTGCACCACAGCACGGTGGCAGGAACAGCTGCCCATGGCTGGAGCTGCAGAGCACGTGGAGTGTCAGAAGCTCTCCCCTGCCTGCGGGCGTGTGGATGTTACAGCTGCTTTGTTATTCCTTTCCAGTCTGACATTCCCGTGAGGACCAGCAGGCATGTAGCTTACAACCAGCCTCAAGAACTGTGAAGGGCTGGACATTTTACCCTGCTGGCAAACTAACAAGTTAGCCTGCCACCATTAGGAGGTCTGTCACCAGGGCACGTGTCTGCAAGTGCCAAAGCACTCTGACAAGCCATCATATTTGCCACTCGCAAATTCACTTTGGAGTTGCTTAGGCCATTCTTGTCTCCAGAGGGACTGAGGCAACTTATGTGTTACCTATGGAAGTTGGAAATTAGAAATGTAGGAAGAGAGGGCTGGCCCGGTGGCGCACTGGATAGTGCACCACTTGGGAAGCGCGGCGGCACTCCTGCCCGAGGGTTCGGATCCCACATACAGACCGGTTCCCGCTCACTGGCTGAGCGAGGCGCAGGAGCAACGCCGAGGGTTGCGATCCCATTGCCGGTCCCTGGTCCGGTGCGGGGGCAGCACTGAGGGTTGCGATCCGTTGCCAGACACGGAAAAAGACAAAAGACAAAAGACAAAAAAAAAAAAAAAAAAGAAAAAGAAATGTAGGAAGAGAAGAAGAAAGATCCAGTACATGGGTCTTTAATTTCATGTGTATCTGTAGGTGTGTGCACATACGCACTCAGAAAGCTTTCTCATTCCTACTCCGGAGGGCACAGGAGCTGGCTACATGGCCCTATCAGTCCCACATTGCCCCGACAGCCAGGAACACTGAGTGGGCGTGTCTGAGGTCGTCCTAGGAATCCA